GGGATTGAACTCAGGCCCTTGCGCTTGCCAGGGAAGCACTTATTCTACTGAGCCATCTCCCCAGCACCTAGGCATCTCTTTGCGCTGGCAGTTCCTGCGCCTGCACTGGAAGCCTCATTTATCTCAGAGCTGATTCCCCAGTGAGAAGGGACGTTCAGCTCTGAGGAGCCGAGTTGCAGTGCCCAGGCATGGTCCGAGGGTACCACAGTGCACGTTTTCTTGGTCAGTCGTTCCCAAAGTCTGGTGTCTAACCAATAGCCTCAACCTCAAATGGGAATTTTCTAAAAATGCAAATTCTGGGCTGGGAAGAAAGCTCAGCAGTCTAAGTGTCTGCCTGGCAAGCGCAAGGACCCAGGTTTGATCCCCGGTATCTCATGCTATGCCAGCCCCAGAACCCTGGGTGCAAAGTGCTGGCCCCCAAACCGGGCGTGGTGGCGTACATCTGTAATCCTAGTGCCGGAGAGGCTGAGACAGGAGGATCACTACGAGACTGAGTTGCGTAGATAGGACCTGTACCAATTTGAAACATTTTGTTTTTTAAAAAAGAAAGGGCTGAGGAGATGGCTTAGTAGAATAAGTGCTTGCCTCGCAGGTGTAAGGTCCTGAGTTCAATCCCCGGTACCTCTAAATAAATAAATAAATAAATCAGTAAACAAATAAAAAGCAAATTCTAATTCCAATTGCAATTCTGGGGCCGAGATTCAGCACTTCATGTTTAATGAGATTTAAAGACGATCCATTTTCTCTGACCCTCTCTTTCCGAGGTGATTCTCAGAGTTCAAATGCAAGAACCATTACTCTACATGAATTACAAGCTCTGAATCATGCTGGGCATGGGGTGCCATATGCCTGTAACCCCAGCTACACTAGGAGCCAAGGCAGGAGGATGACAAGTTGGACGTAGCCCCGTGTTCCCTGGGTTCGGTCTCCAGTACTACTAAAAGAGATCACTTAATTAAGTCTTCCCCTAAACAGAAAAAAACTTGCCACGGGAAACACACAATTCTCAGGATTATTTGATGAACGGGCAACAAGCAATCACTGCCCACTATGTGCCAGGCCCTGAGGACGCGATGAGGACAGACCTAGTCTCTCCCTCAGGAGCTGAGAGTTGGGCGGACTCACGAGCGGAGCCCGACCCGGATGCTTGAGACCCTTGTTCTCACAGGCTTCCGGCTGCCCCCAAGTGTGAAGACTGAGTAAC